TCCGCCGGAGCCCGCCAGGGGCGGGGCTTTGGCGGGTCTGCCGCCAGGGCCAGGTCCACCGTTTGGACACCGGGACGAGCGGGTGTTTGGTCTTCGCCAAGACCCCGGCCGCGGCGAGCTCTTTGCGCTATCAAATGGGGACCGGCGCCGCCTTTTCCGCGGATTCGAAAATTTATTTGGCGCTTTGCGTCGTGGTGGAGCCTGAGCTGACGCGCGTGCTGCTAAAAGGCGTGCTTCGCGATCGCGCGGAGCCGGCCGTGCAAACCCGATATCGAATCGTGAAGTTCTTCACGCCCGCGCGGCTCGCGTTGGTGGAGTGTCGGATTCAGCAGGGTAAAAAACATCAAATCCGACGTCATCTGGCGAGTGTGGGGATGCCGATTGTGGGGGATGTCGTGCATGGCGGCGCGGCGTGCATACGGCCTTTTATCCGCCGCGTCGCCCTCCACGCGCTGTCGATTAGTTTTGTCCATCCCAAAACGGACGCGAAAATCTGCGTGACCGCCCCTTTGCCGGATGACTTTCAACAGGCTTTGAAAACGCTAAACGGCCAAAAGTAGGAAAGGTGAGGGTTCTTTGGTTCTCAAAAATGCAGTCATTATTCACAGGATGGTCTGATAATTAGGTGGGTTGTATTCTCCTTGGTGAAAAACACTCAGGGAGATTTCAACGAGTTCAAATCCATCATTAAACAATGAGATGCTATCGCTCTGATTTATGATGTGAATGTCAAAATGACAAATATGCAGGGCTTTTAATGAGGAAAGGGAAATCAAACTTCATTTTTATTTTTTTTCCTTTGGTCTTTTCTTCGTGTAGATCATGCCTTTGTTCTTTGCTTAAGTAAAGTAAAACATCTACGATTGTTTACAAAGCAGGGGAGTGGGAGAATGACTAATTTGGCGCAATTAGAAGAACAACTCAATCGGCTAAATGCACTCAACAAGGTCAGTGCCAAGGCGCTCGACGCGTTTGCGGATATCTCCAATAATATCTCGACTAAAGCCTGGCAAGTCATGAGCGATGTGAAGCCGTGGGAGGTGGCGAAGGAGAATATTGCGTCGGTGATTGACGAGATGTCTAAAGCCTCGCGGAGCTACCACCCGCCGCCTTCCATGCACGACGTGTTAACGCAGCAAGAACACAACCCCGATGCTATTGTGCAGTGCATGGATTATTTAGTTTACGCGGACACCTATTTCGCCTCGCACTCCTCCAGCCACTTCGCGGATCAAAATCAGCTGCTCATTAACCGGCAAATTCAGCAAATCATCTATATTAGCGAGGAGCTCGTTAAGAAGGCCTTCTTTCAGGCCCTTCATGACCCACCAAACAAGGCGAAACTTCGAGAGCGGAGGTCGTCTATGATTCGAAACCCCGACGCCTTGCGGGATATCGACCTCATTATTAACCGGCTGGGAGAAAACTTCGGGCAGATCACCGTCGTCCAGAACGACGTGTATTTGATGCTGCGAAACACGCTGCGGTCGTTTATGGAGTCCCACCTAACTCGTGCCTACCACGAGGACGGCGGGACGATCCCGATCCCGACGAATTCCATCCTCCCGCCCCTGCTCAAACACTACCAGCGGAAAGAACATCCCCTGCTGAAGGTGAGCCTTACGGCCCGCGAGGGCGTCTTGGAGGTTTCCGAGTGTGTGCGTCGGTACATTATTGACCCTTTGCAGGCGATTTATCTGGTCGTGGAGATGCCCTCGCAATTGGCATCGGCCCCTTTTGATGTCGTGATGGATCATGCGATGAAGGCGATTCAGTTCGATAAGAGCGTTTTTAGCCATCCCACCAAGATGTTCATGGATTCCCGCGGGCAAGGGATTGAGTTGTATCATGGAAAAAGGTACCTTCGGGATATTATATTTATTGGGTTAGATCTTATAGAGGAAATTTGGCAGTGGAAGGGGCTCGCGGCGGGGCTTCCTGGGGAGCATGATACCTTTATTGATTATGTGGACATCGACGCCAAGCGATACTTCGATGCCGTTCGGGATTTGCTCGAAGGTTACGCGTCTTGTAAAGGCGCTTTGGATAAAGCGCAACTCAAAGAGTACGTCAAGCGCACCTCCAGCCTGGAGTGGCTCCCATCGCTGGATTCCACCGCGCATGAGATTTCGACAAACTTGTTGAACTTTCATAAGGTGCTTCTGACATCTTATTATGGCTCGTTGAAGTTAAGCCTCCACGAGTCTTCAGGGAACTCGGACGACGACGATCGGGCCGTGCGGAAGGTTCAGGATTACCTCATCCAAACCCTCATCGGTACTTTACAGGAGCTTCAGATCGTCGTCGATGTCGCCGTGGAGCTTAATAAACGTCACGAGGACAGGGGAAATTATCCTGCCGGCAGCGGTCCTCTCGATCGCCTGCGCATCTCCCCTCAGGTTTTTCTTCTTACGAATATTGCGGTTTTAGCCGAAACCTACAAACGTGAGGAATGCTTTCAAAAGCGGCTGATGCCCAACGATTCGGACGGCGCCGCAGCGGGTAGAAAGTCGGGAAGCGACCCCACCAGGTCG